AGCCAGCCGGCGCGGAAGGCAAGCATGGGGCGGGCTCGGGGCCTCAGCGCGGCCGCTATTCCGCCTTGGGCGGGGCCGCCCCGCCTCCTTCCCTCCTCCCGCAGGACCCAGAGGCTGCGGACCCCGCCGCCTGGGGTGCTCTGGGCAGGCTGGGTCCAGAACCCGGGGCCCTGGAGCAGAGGGCGCGGGGCTTGCCATTATTTTTCTAATTAAAATATTCCTAAATATTTTGAAAATATGAAATATTCCTTAAAAATAAAATTTAAAAATAAAAAAATATATGTGGATTCTGTGCTAGCTATACCAAAGTCATTACAGGATCTGTAGTAAATATAGTAAAATCTAAAACTTTGCAATGAGGCCAGTGGACCAGCCTGTTAGATTCAGCCAGCAGATGGAGGAATCCTAGGCCCTAACACAAGGGGAGGAATCAGAGTAACGTCAGAGAGAACTTGGGGTTTAGGTAAGTTTGAGGGGACCTCCCCACAAGAGAGTGGACCCCACTGTCTCGCCGCTGCTTTCAACCCTGGCAAGCTCTGTGTAAGAACTACCTGAAGTATTGACCTCAATTTCCTCTCTGGGGAGTCAGGATTTTGAGGACTTTGGACCTGGATGTTGGCCTTGGGCCACAGAGAACGGGGTCCCAGGCAGTAACATAAATAAAGGTATGAGGACTCTGATTTCTGAGGAAACCATCCACCCCAGAGCAGACGGGAAGCACACTGACCTGCCCCTGCACTAAGTTCTGGGAAGCCCCAGTATGGCTGTGAGGCTCAGATGCCCTTTTGTTTTGCTCTCTGGAAACTAGAGCGTGACATTGGGAGGGCCTTGGTTTAACGCTAGTTAACCAGAGAGAGAATACTCAGCATCAGCCCAGAATTTTTTGTAAAAAATAGCCCCTACGTGAGTTCCAAGGAAATGTCCCACCCGGAAGTCGACCCATAGAACGCTGCCACCGTGTCAGCCCAAATAGAACCCAAGCAGGAATCGTCTGACGTAGCGACTTCCGAGAACCTTCTAAATTTCCCCACCCCGTCCAGAGGACTGAAGGTGCTAGGGCCTCGCACCAAAGTGGCAGGTTCAGCCAGCAGAGGGACCCATTCCAGGCTCTAACGGGACTAATGTAAAAGACCTTGGGCGACGTCTGAGGGAATTGCCTGTCCTAGCACATACGGGCCTCACAGAACCCTGCCCCTGCCGTCCACACCGAGAGGCCCCAGGCAGCGCTTTAAAGGTGTGACGCGCCCTGAGTACCGTGATTTCCGACTCCAGTGTCCGAAGTTGCAACCTCTGTATAAGGAGGGCAGCATCAGGTCGGTGGACAGAAGAGTTCCAGGCCGCGACTGGAATTAGAGTAAAGACCCTGAGTTAAGTGTAAGGGTCCTGGCCACGCCAGATTAAAGACATTTCCAGAGTTCCATGCCTGCTATCAGCCCTAAAATAACCCAGACAAGAATCGACCGACACAGCAACCTTCGAGTACTTTTGAAATTTCCTCCAAGGGTACCGAGTGGGATGGGATATCAAACCAGGGTGTCAGCTTCAGACCAGAAGAGGGCCGGATCCCAGGCCCTAATGGGAGTAAAGGCCAGGACCCTGAGTGAGGTCTGTGGAACCCGCGCCCCACCCCAACTTCCGGGGCCTCACAGAGTGCCAGAACGTTCGCTCCGAGAGGCTGCAAGTTAGGTCGGATTGATGTAAAGCACCCTGACTTCTATTTCTGGTGTTGCAAGGAAAAATTAATACTTTCTAGTGGGAAGAGGAAGGTGTCAGGAGAGGGGAGGAGCTTCCAGGCCCTGCCGCGTGTTATAGCGAGGACACTGAGGTCTCAGGGAAACACCCACTCCCACCAAAGGGGACCTTACAAAGTCCTACCACTGTTGGGAGGCCTTGGATAAGGGTGTGAGGCTGAGCACCCCCTCGCATTGTCCTTTGGCCGTCTCGGGAAGTCTGGTCTAAGAGGGCAGTCTCATTAGATTTAGAGTATAATTTTTAAAAAATCAAATTATTGAAATTCTGATTAATGACAATAAAAGATAGTCTGTGAATTGAAAAAAAAAATAAAGAGGGCAGCCTCATTGTCATTAAAGGGAGGGAGTCCAAGTTTTTCAACACTTAATTTGAGGACCCTGAGTGAGGGCTGAGGGGACCACCCACCATAGAACAGGGGCGGGGGAGGGGGTGGGTTGTCACAGGGAGTCCTATGCAAGTCATCAGCCCCAGGAGTACCTCTGCACATGTGAGAAATGCCACCAGGGCGAATATATTACACTGAGGCCCTCCTCAGGACTTTCAGGTATTGGACGGCCTTTCTCTGATGGTGTAAGTTTTAAATCAGCAGAGAGAGGAGGCCAGGCCCTATCAGGAGTAAAGTGAGAGCACTGAGTGAGGACCGAGATCCCTAAGTTCCCCAGGATAGAGAGGATCCCACAGAACTCTGCCTGTGCTTTATTCCCTGTGCCTACCTGGGAAGAAAGTTCCCCTTAGTTCCTCCTCTGAGGCCTAAGAGTGATGACAGCTTTGAAATGAGGGGTCAGCATCAGAATAGTAGACCATAGGGACTTCAGGTCCTGCCAAAAGTGGAGGGATGGCCTTTAATGTGAACTGAAAAACTCCCTAACTTAGAGACTCTACTCTAAGTCCCAAGCAGATGTGGTAGGCAGGAGCTAAGGCACACCCTACTTGTTGCCACATTCCTCAGGGCATAAGCAAATCAGAGAATAGCAGCTTGTGGGTTCCTAGAGCAGTACCCTCAAGGAAACCTGCAGAGGTGGCCTTCAATAATGCCATGGTTATATCTCCCTATTAAAGTGGCCCAACAATCTCATCCTCTCTCCTTCAGATCACTGAGTCACCTGCCCACACTGGTGCCTGTTGCCCTTGTTGAAAGTCACCATGCCTCAGGGTCAGAAGAGCAAGCTCCGTGCCCATGAAAGACACGGCCAGGCACAAGCAGAGCCCCAGAATCCAGTAAGCGCTCGGGCCACTGCAGCAGGGGGAGGAGAGCTTTGCTCTTCCACCTCTTCTCGTTTCAAAAGTTTGTCTGCTGCTGGGTCATGCAGCAATCCCCAGGGTCCTCAGAGAGCCCCATCCACAGCCACTACTGGGTCCCCAGGGTCCTCAGAGAGCCCCATCCACATCGAACGAAGACGCCAACTACCAAGTGGAGGAATGGCCAAAATCCTCCCAGGCCCACCCCACTACTGAGCCCTCCCAGAGAGGCCCTCTAGATGAGAAGGTGATTCTGCTGGTATATTATCTGCTGTACAAGTATCAAATGAAAGAGCACATTACCAAGGGAGAAATGCTGAGAAATGTAATCCAAGTGTACAGGAAACACTTCCTGGAGATCCTCAAGAAAGCCTCTGCGCACCTAGAGATGGTCTTTGGCCTTGATGTCAAGGAAATGGATCCCTATCGGCACATCTATATCCTCGTCAACAAGCTGGACCTAAGCTATGATGCAATGGCAAGTGGTAACAGAGAGATTCCCAAGACTGGCTTGTTGATGACTATTCTAGGTGTGATCTTCATGATGGGCAATTGTGCCACCGAGGAGCAAATCTGGCAAATATTGAATGTGATGGGACTATATGAGGGGAGGAATCACTTCATATTTGGAGAGCCCAAGAAGCTTATCACCAAGGATTTGGTGAAAGAAAATTACCTAGAGTATTGCCAGATGCCTGATAGTGATCCTCCATGCTTCGAGTTCCGGTGGGGTCCAAGAGCCTATGTTGAAACTACCAAGATGAAAGTCCTAGAATTTATAGCCAAGATCCATGATTCCGTACCAAGTGCCTACTCATCCTGGTATGAAGAAGCTTTACAAGATGAAGAAGAGAGAGCACAGGCCAGAGCAGCAGCCAAGGCTCGTATTGCTGCCATTGCCAGTGCACGCTCCAAGGCCTTGATCAGCAGCTCCTCCTACACTAAGTGAAGTCTGAGGCAAGTTCTTCACTTGTTCAAGAAAGAAGTTCACGTTCTAAGGAGCAGAGGTTGGGGTGGGGCTGGAGACAATACAGTATATATAACATAATTATGTTTCTGTTCTATGTGGTAACTTGGATAATTAAAAAATATTTTTCTTTTAATGAAGATTTAAGGACCTTCATAATCCAAATTTATGAATGATAGACTCAAGCATTTGTTTCTGTGATTGAGATTTAAGAGTAAGTTTGATTATTTTGTAAAATGAATTGGAAAAGTTCTATCTTATTTAGTGTTTTGGAACAAGGTAACATGGCGGTAGTGAGACATTTGTTTGGAAATGTGAAATAACAGTGTAATAGTTCAAGTCAAGAAATTGAGCAATAAAAACTAATGAATTCTTGGTTTCATTTATGACTTTTAGTATGTTTTATAACTATATATATGGATAGATTTAGCTTATTCAGGAATGTAGGAGAAATTATATTTAATAAATTAGACCTCTTTCTTAGTGGCCCATTTTTTTCTCCAACAATAATTGAGCATTTATTCTTTGCAAACTCCATGTTAGTACCGGGAATGCTAGGCTGTACACAGACCATCCCTGCCCATAGAAGTTTAAAGTCTTGGGGTAGCTATGATGTAAGGAATATTGTCAGATATCTACTACGACCAAAAGGACAAGTCAAAAGATGGCATGAGGACTTGGAGGGTTTAGGTGTGAACAGTCAAATGTAAATGCCTGTGGCAAGGAGTTTGAGACCTTGGGAAACTTAGAGTCCTTCAGTGTGAGGTAATATTAATTAAGCCAGGTGGTGGGTCAGATAAATTTCTTTGAGTGGTGGGCAGAGGCCAAAACCTCAGATGATGTGTTTCAGATTGAGAGGCTGAAGCCTGGAATGGAAAACTGCTTCAAGCACTGACTTTAAGATCATGGATAAAGCAGAAAGAAATCATCACTTGGGACAGAAATGAAAGAGGCGCTGTGCTCTTGTCCTAGTGCAGGAGAACAGAGTTCACAAGATAGGTGATTTGCATACATCATAACAAGAGAGTGTCTGAGAAATAGGATGAGACTCACAAGAGATGGGATGCTCAGAAGCCACTGTGCTGGCACTCCTTGCCCTGGGCTGGGAGAGGCATAGCTCAACCATTAAATGGCCATTTTAATTAGGTTATCTGAAATGTAATTTGGTAAACTCTAAGTTAGAACTAGATCTGTGACGGAGGTGAAATAATTGCAAATGCAAACGTTTTGGATGGAAGGGCAGATGTAAGGGAGACATGGAAATAGACTTTGACAGAAATTCCAGGAGTTTTGAGTTGCATCGAACTGGGGCAGATTCCCTAACACCAGCAATAAATAAGGTATCCTCAAAAAAGTTATACGACGAGTAACTTAGTTTAACATGATAAGCAATCTATTGGCTGACTTCTTGTGCCACATCCTAGACAGCTGCAAATTCTCTGACATTTCCTGGATTACAAAACAAACGAAAACAAACAAACAAAAATCAGGGGAGATTGGTAGGTTTTAGGGTGAAAATAATAATAGTAATAACTGAAAATTAGCAAAACCCAATACATGCTAGACACTGCCAGTGTCTTGCATAAGTTACATTCCAACATTCCTACTTAACAAGATACATGTGAACCAAGAGCAAGGAGACTACTTATCAAACCCATTTCACAGATGAAAATCTGAGGTTCATAGAACTTTGCAATTTTCCCAAGTTCATCTAGGTAAAGTGACAGAGCTGGGACTAGAGCCCCAGTCTGAATTCAGTCTAGCACCTACACTGTTCCACAATTCCCCCTGAAGCCAACAGTTCCCTAATTCATTTCTCTTCTCACTAATCCACAATGTCTCCCTTCAAATAAAAAAAGGGAAACTTTTTATTTAGCCAATGTATTAAACCCAGGTGTATTAATAAGGTGAATATGAAAACTAAACACCACATAGGGACTCTCTATGGGCTGCATTTGCCTAAGGTCCACTGACCTCTATCCACAAGGTAATTTTAGAGCTGACTCTACTTGGTGATGGGATCACCCAGCACTTTCTGAATAACCCTGTGCTTCCCCTAGGTTTTCCCTAGTGTGCCCTCATGTCTAAGTCTGGATCCTAACCTGCTTTCCAGCTCTCCCCCGCTTCCTTTCATAAAGCTACACTCTGCTCCCAGTGGAACACACAGCCCAGAATCACCCGCCTCCCCCTGATTTAGAGCACTCCAGCTCCCTGCAGATGTCCTCTGCCTGTCCTGTCGCTGACCACGGAACCCCTCTGATAACAACAGCCTTGTCCACGTGGTTGTTTACTCCGGCAGTGAACTTTAGATGTCTGCTCATCTGCTCTGGGTGCTTCCACCACACTCTCAAAAAATGTTTTTTTCCAAATCGGCTTATGAGTAGAGTCTGATTTGGCACAGGGTCTACTAGTTCTTGAAAGATAGATAACCTTGAAGTTAGGAGGTTTCAGAACCAGACGAGATTAGTAAGAAAGGAGAATTTAAACTGGCGACTTAACTGGAGACTGGCCACTGAATCCATACACTAATGAATGAGCTTAACTAAGCGGCCAACAACCCAAGCCTCCCTCCTAAGTGAGATGAGGAAGGCCCGAGAAACTACTGTGTAGCAACCACGAGCAGATGCTGGATTCTAGCAGACCCTGTATAACTTCTCAGGAAGTTATAGTAGTTGTCTGTGGCTGCCGAAAGAAATTACCACAAATTTAGTGGTTTACAAGAGCACATATTTATTATCTCGGTAAGTACTGTCTACGTTTCCGTAGGGGTAAAGGCTGGACTGGCTCTGTGAGACTCTGAGCTTGGATTTTCACAGGACAAACTCAAGCTTTTGGCAGGCAGGCCTCCCTCTGACCATGAGCTCTGGGGAGCATCTCTAAACTCATTTAAAACTTTAATAAAGAAGTGGAAACATAAAAGTGGAGGTATAAAACATGAAAAAGAACCACTTAGAAATGAAGAATACAATAACTGAAATGACAAACGCTATAGAGCAGCAGTCCCCAACATTTTGGGGCACCAGGGACCGGTATGCCTGATGATCTGAGGTGGCACCGAGGCGGTGATGCTAGCACTGGGGAGCGGCTGCAAGTACAGATGAAGCTTCGCTCACCTGCCCGCCACTCACCTCCTGCTGTGTGGCCCAGTTCCTAACAGGCCACGGACTAGTACTGGTCCGCAGCCTGGAGGTTGTAGACCCCTGCTATAGAGTGAAGAAAGTGACCCCCTCCATGCTGAGACTTACAGTGTCCTTTAGAAAACTGGTATGATCCTGTGTTTGAAAACACTGGTCACATAGTAGGTACTAGAACAATTTGGAGTGTAGCAAGGCAATTTTGGCCTTCCCAGAATCTTCTCTAAGAATGAAGAGAGCTTTTGTATTCAGAGCGTAAGTGCTGCACTTTACTGATCACCCACTCTGTAACTGTTGATGGAGAGGCTGCCAGTGCTCACCCACGTGTGTCTCGCTCTCCTCCCTGGGCACAGGGGGCCTATCGTCCAGTCCACTTGTGTTAGAAAGGGTTTTGTGACAACCATTGCCACAGAAATGTGAACAGGAGCAAAGTTTATCATTTCCAGACCAAGGCATTTGAGAGTCAGAATCCTACTTCCATGCTTCCTGTTCAATTCAGCAGATCCTGGGCTGAGATGGAGTCACATGATGGGAGCAAAGTTTATCATTTCCAGACCAAGGCATTTGAGAGTCAGAATGCTACTTCCATGCTTCCTGTTCAATTCAGCAGATCCTGGGCTGAGATGTGGAGTCACATGATGGGAGTAGCTTGGGTGCCTGGGCCACTTGACAGCGGACACTCTGCCTACCCATGTCAGATTTAATGTGCATGAGAAATAAACTCTTATAGTATTAGGACGTTCAGATTTCAGCCTTCTTCTATTATGTCCACTAGCAGTTACTTATCTGAATAACACACAGCTACTATTTCTGTTATTAGTCTTACTTAAGTATACTAATTATAAAAGAAATAGTGCACATATTCTTGATGCTAATAAAATTCTGAAAATATAGATGAATCAGAAATTCCATTCTTTATCCTTTAAAATTCAGCCCTTCTCAGAAGTAATCATAATTTTAAAATGTTGTATGTATTACATTAAAATATATTCTGGGCTTTTTCTTACATAGATTTGCTAGAAAAATACAATATGAGGTTTTTTTTAACATACATGATATTGATGTACATACTACTTTGCCACTTGCCCTTGCCATTTAATGAAATAAATGCAGAATCTTTCTGTGAGAGTATATGCTGATCCATCTCACTTTTAACTACTCCCAAGTATTCTAAAGTATGTATGTACCATAATTAATTTAAGCATTTTCTTCGACGGCACACAAGTTGTTTTCCATTTTTTGCTTTAACTAATAGAACTGATATCAACATCATGAAACATAAATTATTGGGCAAATGTGGATGTTTTCTTATAGTAAAGACAGAAGTGAATATTTGGTTAAAGTGGAAGTAGACTGATGATCATAATTTTTTTTGAATATTGCTAATATTCTGTTTCAATAATGCTATACCAATTTATAGTCTCATGTATTTATATATGAGAATATCCTAAAGCCTCAAGGCATTTTATTTAATCAATTTAAAATATTTTTTTATTTTTTCAATTACAGTTGACATACAATATTATATTAGTTTCAAGTGTACTACACAGTGATTAGACTTTTATATAACTTATGAAGTGATCACCCCGATAAATCTAGGACCCATATTACACCGGGCCTAGTTATTACAGTATTATTGACTATATTCCCTATGCTATACTTTACATCCCCATTAGTATTTCATGACTACCAATTTGTACTTCTTAATCTCTTCCCCTCTTCACCCATCCTCCCAACCTACCTCCCACCTGGCAACCATCAGTTTGTTCTCTGTATCTATGAATGAAATCATATGGCTTATTTGATCAATTCTAACTGTGTATTCTCACTGTTCTTTTATTTTGTATT